GGCTGCTGCTGCACACAGCTGGCTCCTATTTCGCTGGTTGTCCACTAAGACTCCAAGTTCTCTCTCCCAGTTCCTGCTATTGAGCCTGGTTTCACCCAGTCTATACGTGCATATATAGACTGGATGTGTGTATAAGCTTAGATAAGCACCAAGGACCCCATATTTTCATTCTTTTCACAACAGGGGCATGGGGCTAAGCTCCTGGAGTCCGTAAGAGCTCACTGCTTTTATCAATGTGACAAAAGAACATTGTGCCATCGCACCACAAGCTCTGACGCTTCCATAGATTATGACACATGTATACAAAAGGGACGATGCTGCGACTCTTCTTTTGTTATTTTGTTCCTGCTTATTTCTTGTGGATGCTGCAGCCCTAACCTCTAAGAGTTAACCAAAAAAAAAAAAAAACCAACCACCCTCCCGTTCTCTCTTCTCCTGAATTATTAAAGGCAATTCTGAGTGAAGAATCAGCACAATTTCCACCTGACGGATCTATCGATCAATAGATCTTGTAATTGAAACTAATGCAAACTTGTTCCTAATTTAAAGTCACGGGAGCACAATCCTCCGACTTCTAGCGAGAAGGACCAATTGGGATGGAACGCCTGGATGACCTTGGGTTACCGAGGGGAAGAGATGCTGCCTAGGAAACTATCAGATAAGAGAACCAGGAGCCTCCATTGGCTTAATGGTCAGGGGGAAGAAACGTAGGATCAAGCAGTTAAAAGTGCTGGCAGGAAGTTCGTGCAGGTAGACCTCGAGTTACGACCACAATTGAGCCCAAAATTTCTGTTGCTAAGCGCTGACAGTGAATTTTGCCCTATTTGACAACCTGTAGCTTCTTATTTAAGCGGGCCAAGGCCAACTGCCCGATGTTTGAAACACCACCTGAAGATGCCTCACATAACATTATACAGATCTCGGATTGGATGGCCCGTTTGAACTATTGTTGGTGGGAACGTTGCCATCACTTTGTATATGTGATTTTTGCGCCTAGTGCTTCAGATCTTGAGTTCTTTTGATGCTACCACTTTGATTTCCAGTAAAAGTCCTTTCCTCTATAACAATGGAGTCTAAGGTTTTCTTTCTTGGATTTTGTTCTGACCCAAACCTGGCTCCACGAGACTAAACACAAGACAAAGGTACTGGCACAACCTTTTACGGTTTCATTTACAAATCCTGTTTCTACACAGATAAAAAGGTTCCGACAAGAAAGAGCCTTGCCAAGTTTTTGCAAGTCTGCCAAGAACAACAGATAAAGTTCCTAAACAATAAATCAAAGAGTCTCCAAATACCAACTCGGATATTCCTAACGTCCACCAAGCTCGAATATCAAACTTCTCTGCAAAGAATTCTGGTTTCTCAGCTGGCTTTTATCTCTTAAGGGAGGGGCCATTAAATTGCAGCCTTACTCCCGAGTCGCCCGTGCTGCTGCAGCTGCTCTTTCCTTCGAGCAGCCCTGCGTGCACACGCACTGGGCACAGGCTCCTCGGGGGCCTCTTCCTCACTGCTGCCAGCCTCCACAACCTCCGAAGGCAGCATTCCCCTCCCTGATGGTCCTGGCCCCATCCCTGCATCACACGCAGGCCCCTCATCTGAGTCCTCGCTCTCCGAGACCTCAGCCATCCGCACCTGCTGCCAGCGAACCACAACAGATTTTGGATGGAGCCTCACCTGACAGCAGGGGTGAGTGGGAGGGATGATCCTGCGCTTTTCTCTTCTTTCTCCTCCCTCTGATCCACGGAGGGTTATTTTTACGACCGGTTCAGTTGAACCGGTGCGAACCGGTAGCATGACACCACTGGTTTGACATCCGTGGCATAGAGAAAAATCTCTCAAGGACTTTGGTCCTGAATTCACCTTCTGATAAGCCACAGACTGTCATCCAACAGTGTGCAATGATGGTTGGATCTCTGCTAGTGGGCACTGTATACAGTAAACCATCATCCTGACCCGGCAAGGTTATTCTTGTCTCCTTTTCACAACAGTGGCTACAATTTTTAGGGGTTTTCTTTTTCTCCGCTCCTCTTCAAAGGCCGATATCATCTTATTGCGGTAGCAGTCTATTATGCTTCCTCCTCCCCAGCTGGTAAACAGCACACCCTCCCTCTCTCCCACGCCATTCGAGGAAATAACAACCACAGATTCTTCAACTCAAGGGCTGCAACCCAACACATATTTCAAAGCAGCTGGCTGTGTTTTCAAAAGCCCCCTGAAAAGGGATATTCTACGCCCAAAGCAAAGTGCTCCGATCCCCAATCGCGCGATCCGATCATCCTCCTTTTGTTTTTGAGTCAGCTCTGTGCCGACCGTACAAATATCTTCGTTTTATTGCTGAGATGAAGTTTTGAAGATGAGACGAATAGGATTTTGCACAGTCCGGGTTCTTTGAGAATACCGGGCAAGTTTGGGTTTCAATTAGAGGAGGAAATCAAATCATCGGATCTAGAATAAAGAACTCCATTTTCAAACCCAGGCTGGATCATGGCTTAACGTCGTAGCTCTGATGAAATTCGCATCACTTCCAATGCTCGTAAATCTTTTGATTAGGGTTGTGATTCTGGAATCTGGATATCGTTAGGACTGTGTGGTTTTCCCAACTCGGATTCCAAAAATAAGCCTCAGCGTAGGAAGAAGCATCTATACCAGTAGTGGTTAAAGTTTTGGGGCTCCTGCGTCAAAAATTGTCATGCTCGGTGCCAGCACCCAGAAGACAATGCGCGCCCCCCATGCCCCCTGCGCACATGCGCGCAATCCCCACCAACCCACCCTCGCCATCCCCTTACCTAAACTGCACCTCACAGCTGATTTTTGGCCAGTTTGAGGCCTTTTTCAGCGTCCCAGAGGATTCAGGAAGGCTTCTGCAAGCTTCTGCAGGCTTTTCAGGCCAAAAACTAGGCCCGTTTCATCACTTCTGGTATTTCCAGAAAAATAGGAAGTGACAAAACAGGCCTAGTTTTGAGCCTGAAAAGCCTGCAGAAGCCTTCCTGAAGCCTCTGGGAGGCCGAAAAAGACCTCAAACTGGCTGAAAATCAGCTGTGAGGTGCGTGCGTGCACAGTGAGGTAAGCTTGCCTGCAGCTCGCACGCCAGCACAAATGGCTCTGCATGCCACCCGTGGCACACGTGCCATAGGTTCTCCATTGTGGATCTCTACAGAACTTGTCTGCAATTCTTGAAAGCAGCCGGATCTTTCCCCAGAATTCTGCAGCTGTCCTGGGAAAAGATGCAGCTGCTTTAAATAATTGTAAATAGGGACTAGTCTTATGCAGATCATTATGTACCAGAGCAGAGGTCTCCAAACTTGTCAACTTAAAAGCTTGTATACTTCAACTCCCAGAATTCCCCAGCCAGCTAGAGAATTATGGAAGTTGAAGTCCACAAGCCTTAAAGTTGCCAAGTTTGGAGACTCCTGTCCCAGAGCACTTTTTTTTTTCTGAAACCCCAATATGTTGCACAACCTGATCGGGTATTTTGAAACTTGGACGATGGTGGTTCAATGGTTTTTGATCTTTTAAATGAATTGGAGTTACAGGTAGTCCTTAGACTTACAGCCATTCATTTAGTGACAGTTCAATGGCACTAAAAATGGGACTTACAACTGGCCCTTGTACCTACAATCGTTGCAGCATCCACACAGTGACATGTTTAAAATTGGTCATCGACATCCCAAAGGGGCTTTTCCAAGAGGCAACTGGACTTTCTGGTTTTTTTCTTGGAAGACGTTTCGCTTCTCCTCCAAGAAGCTTCTTCAACTCTGACTGGATGGTGGGAAAGGATTGAGACTCCTTGCAGACAGCTGGTCATTTGCATCCTTTTAGAGAGACGTTGAGGCGACTTGGGGGTTTATCTGTGTCCTCAGGGTCACCTAAGTAGTGCAAATGGGTGTGGAGCCTTTTTGGAATGGTTGAAAGGACTGTGCAATTCCAAGAAGGCTTCACACCCATTGCACCACTCCGGTGACCCTGAGGACACAGATAAACCTCCAAGTAGCCTCAACGACTCTTTGAAAAGGATGCAAATGACCAGTTCTGTCTGGAAGGAATATAAATCCTTCCATTCTCCACCGTCCAATCAGAGCTGAAGAAGCTTCTTGGATGAGAAGCAAAACGTCTTCAAAGAAAACCCAGAAAGTCCAGTTGCCTCTTGAAAAAAAAGCACCTTTGGGACAACCACAACTTGGATGACTAAGAATCTGCACAGGCATTTGCCAACGGACATGTACTTATGATGGTTGCAACATTCCAGGGTCACCTGATTGCCACTTGCAACCTTCCCACCTGGCTTCCAACAAGCAAAATCAAAGGTGGAAGCCAGATTCACTTAACAACCATGTGACTCATGAAACAACTGCAGCAAAAAAGTCATAAAATCAGGCACAAGTCACTTAACAACTGCCTTGCTCAGCGACGGAAACTCTTGATCCCAATTGTAGTCATATGCTAAGGACTACCTGAATGTAACTTATTTCTATACAGCTGTTGATAAAAATTATTTAACCGACGCTCATTTAAATTTCCACTCCTGTTGCAAACAATCTGAGCCACAGAATTCATGCAGAACATTTAACACTGCCCGAATATCCAGAATTCTAGGAATATTTCAGGTTGTTTCTCTGTGAGATTGCTGGGAAAAAAATGAATTCACTTTGTAGCTCCATCTCAGCCCTAGAAGAGCAGATATCTTTCTACACAGCCTTCACAAATTCTATTTCTTTCTGACAAAATAAACTCTACCGAGTCTTCTTCTAGCTTTTGTTATTATGTTTTTTTTGTTGCACAGTTAGCCAGATGTTTAGTCCGGATTTGGTAATTTTCTGTCCGCCTATCGAGTCTTTTCCAGGGACTTGAGTTAGGCAGATGCTGTTATTTAATCTTATTAAAGGTATCGTCACAGGAGGCAAACTGTCCCAAGTAAAATTTGGTTGTTATTATTATTATTAATATTATTATTTAGGCTCCCATCAAGAGGAGATCTCAGAAACATCCTTCTGTCCTCCTACCTCAGGGAGTTTGACTTGTCCTTCCAGGAAGTGACAATTGCGAGGTTCGTGGGTGCAAACATGACGATATTTACACCAATAGCATCGGTAGGGGCTTTCTACGCACGAGAGGCACCTGAAAAGATTAGAACAGAAAAGAAACATCAAAAAAGCACACCAGTGGCGGGATTCAAAATTTTTTTTTTACGGCCGGTTCTGTGGGCGTGGCTTGGTAGGCGTGGCAGGGGAAGGATATACTGTAAAATCCCCATTCCCTCCCCCACCCCACTAACCTGCTTTCCAGCTCCGTTCTCCTGTGCAGGGCAACCCAAAAAGACCCAGCCAATCAGCTGGGACTCAATGGGAGGCGGAGAATAGATGGGGTTGGCGGGCCCAGTCAGAGGTGGGATTGGCCGGTTCTCTGAACTACTCAACATTTCCGCTGCCGGTTCTCCAGAACGGGTCAGAATCGGCTGAATGACCACCTCTGAAGCACCCATGCCATTCTTGGGTGGGGGGGTTTAAATAAATCAAAGCGCTGATCCTAGCCACAGAGGCACCGTCAGAAAAAGAGGACCCAGGAGAGAAGCGTGAACTCACGAGGTGTGGACGCTGCAGTTGTAGAAGACAAAGCTGGTGCTGGCAAAAGTCATGCCGGTTTCTTTGGATTTGAGCTGGAGCTGGACAACGTGGTGGTCTCCTAAGGAGGAAGGAAAACAAGAGGGTTACCTTGTTATTCATCCGAATACAGAGATGGAGGGAAGTCCGTTCTCCTAGCAACTCTACCTGTGTCCTGGTCCACCTGCACATGGCTGTTCTCCAGGGCAGGGAACTCGGCAACTTTAAGACTATGCCAGCTGAGGAATTAGCACACATATAGACTGGGTGAAACCAGGCTTAATGGCAGTAACTGGGAGAGGGATCTTGGAGTCTTAGTGGACAACGAGCTAAATATAAGCCAGCAGTGTGCAGCAGCAGCCAAAAAAGCCAATGCAACCCTATGTTGCATTAACAGAGGGATACAATCGAGATCAAGGGAGGTACTAATACAACTCTATAATGCCTTAATAAGACCACATCTAGAGTACTGCTTCCAGTTTTGGTCACCACACTATAAAAAAAGTGGTTGAGACTCTAGAAAAAGTACAGAGAAGAGCAACCAGGATGATGACACTAAAACATATGATGAACGGTTGCAGGAACTGGGCCTGGCTAGTCTAGGGAAGAGAAGGACCAGGGGAGACAGGATAGCAGCCTTCCAATAGTTGAGGGGTTGCCCAAGAGAGGAGGGGGGTCAAGCTATTCTCCAAGGCACCTGAAAGCAAGACAAGAAATAATGGCTGGAAACTGATCAAGGAGAGTTTTAACCTGGAAATAACGAGAAACTTTCTGACAGTGAGAACAATCAACCCATGGAACAGAAGTTGCCTTTGGAAGTTGTGGGAGCGCCATCACTTGAGACTTTCAAGAAGAGACAGGATTGCCATTTGTCAGAAATGGGGTAGGGTCTCCTGCTTGGGTGGGGGTTGGACTAGATGACCTCCAAGCTCCCTTTCAACTCTGTTAATCTGAATTCTGGGAGTTGAAGTCCACAAGTCTTAAAAGTTGCCATGTTTGGAGACGCCTGCCCTAAGGGAAATGTTCTTTCAAAGAATGGGGTAAAATTGCCAGTGTAGTTGTGTTTCTCTACCTGGCGGCTTGGACTTGCCACTAATATTTTAAAGAGCTGGCTCTGGATTTGAACTTTTAAACCAGCTTTCAACTGAGATAACCCAGACTTAAATCATTCCGGAGTGTGTTGATGCTAGTCCTAAATTAAATTTGGCGGTACTCATTTGTTTAGCGGCTGTTCCAAGTTACAGCGGCTGTCAGCGTTCCAGCAAACCTCCACTCCAATCAGTAACTCCGAGACAAACGTATTTCAAAAGTACCCTTATTAGAATAGCACCTGGCACATCTGTGGAATCCTGAATCTAAAAGTTTTTTCAGGCTTTCCACAATTTCCGAAACTACAAATCCATTGTCATGCCCTTGTTGGAGTCTGATTCTGAGGGTGATATTGATCAGCTGACAGGGACTGTGGCTCCGGTGGCTGTGAAAGAAACGGGGGGAGAGCACAGTCCGGCTGGGCATTCAGAGGAAGAAGACCCAGGGCCATCCCCTCTTCATCCTAGGACACGCAGGGAGGAACAGAGAAGGGAGCAACATGTGTTACGGTAGTGGAAAAGGCCCTGATCCCTTTCATTAGTTGCAGCTGGGAGAACAGGATATAAGTGGGGCATTTTAAATAGCTCTTTGCTGGAAGCAAAGCATGCTTTATCTTGGTCGAGGCCTATCTGGGTTTTGGCGTCTTCCCAACTGTGGTTGCTGCAATTATCTTGTGGAAGTCTGCAATTTATCATCCTGGCCTGCAATGTTAATGACTCCAATGTGGTTTGTGTTGGGTTTTTTTTTTTTTACTTCTAATTATTTTTAGTTTTGGTTCGGACTGCATTTACTCCCTTCGTAAACTGTTTCTGGAAGAGTTTGATGTCAAGTCGAGAATAATTGGACATTGAAGCCCAAGTTGGAGGCATTAAAGGGAATTTATTCTACTTTTGTGACTGTGTTATTTTTGTGTCACGCCCTGGGTCATCACATCCATCTCCCCTTGGTCATCATCACATCACATGGCCCAATCATGATCCATCCAAAAGTACAATCCTTATTTCATCCTGCGCCGTACTCAATGACCTTGGACTAACAGAATAATTTTATTTTGTCTACTTAGAGCTACTTCATTGAAATCACCCCACTTCCACTCTCCCAGGCTATGTGGCAGCGTGGAATATGGCTTCCAAAGCTGACAGGCATCCCCCCTTGAGAAATTCACCTCCTAAAAGAGACAATAAGCAATAAACAAAACACAACCACAACTTTTGAGATATGTTTGTCTCGGAGTTGCTGATTGGAATGGAGGTTTGCTGGAACGCTGACATTATCCCAAATCTCCTTCCTCCCACTTTCTCAGGCTATGTTGCAGCATGGAATATGGCTTCCAAAGTTGACAGCGGCACAGAAAGAAGTGACACACGGCCATTTTTCACACTTACGGGCCGTAGCAGCATCCCCGTGGTCACGTGATCAAAATTCAGATGCTGGGCCACTGGCTCCTATCTATGATGGTTTGCAGTGTCCCCAGAGGTCCTGTAATTCCCCTTTTGTGACCTTTTCACAAGCAAAGTCAATGGGGAAGCCAGTTTTACTTAACAACCATGTTACTAATTTAACAACTGCAGTGGTTGACTTAACAAATGTGTTAAAAAAAAAAAAGTCATCAAATGGGGCAAAATTCAACTCAACAAATTTCTCACTTAACCACATCAATTTGGGGCTCAGTGGGGGGGGGGTCCCTGAGTTGAGGCCTCCTTGCATTTCATTTCAAGATGATGTTTCCCCCATTTCGCTCCCCCTCACCTGCACCCCACACAGCCCCGATGTTCTCAGCTATGACAACCCCTTCCCTACCCTTCACTCACAGTGACAGGCCCTTTCTGTTCCCTTTAATCCTGGCCTGTCTTCTTTCAGTGACAACCTGAATGCTGGCTTGTGCTTTCATCTGACAGCCGCATCTCAGGGACCTATTAAGGCTTTAGAACAAAGGTGTGCTTCTGCGTGTTTAATGCAAAATCTTTTGACCCCAGTTTGGCTAATCCACCTCATTTTCTTCCCCCCACCCACCCCAAAAGAGTCATTAATCAATCAACAACAAAGAGGACTTGACAAGAGCTCATCACGGTGTCTGCATGCGCAAAGATGCGCTCGCACACTCCTGAATATATTTGGGGACGAGGGCGCCCTCTTCCGCTGCCCGTCTGCTGCCTAGGGATCGCTCCACTAACGCATTGGATTTAATTGCAAGCCACTTCCTGCCGGAGGGGCTTTAAATTTGAATAGATCATGAGAGGCTCCCAAGCAGAGGTGGGTATTCAGCTGGTTTGGACCAGTTCTGGAGAACCAGTAGCAGAAATCTTGAGTAGTTTGGAGAACTGGCAAATGCCACCTCTAACTGGCCCCGCCAACCCCATCTCTTCTCTGCCTCCCATTGAGTCCTAGCTGATTGGCTGGGTCTCCTTTGGTTGCCCTGCACAGGAGAACGGAGCTGGAAAGCAGGTTAGTGGGGTGGGGAGCAGTGGTGGGATTCAGCCAGTTTGCACCAGTTCAAGAGAACCGGTTCTTAACTTTCTGAGCAGTTTGGTGAACTGGTTGTTGGAAGAAACCATTAGGGCAGAGAACCGGTTGTTAAATTATTCGAATCCCACCACTTGGTTGGGAGGGAATGGGGATTTTGTAATAATCTTCCCCCAGGAGTGGAGAGGGAATGTGATTTTGCAGTATCCTTCCCCTGCCACACCCACCAAGCCACACCCACAGAACAGGTAGTAAAAAAAATTGAACCCCCACCCCTGTCCCCTGTGTTAGGGGAGGCATGAACAAAAGGCAGTCTATAAATGTAGATTTCCTTTATTTGCAGAAAAAGCCCACTGGAGGCTTTTAAGAAGAGATTGGATTGCCATTGGTCAGAGCTGGTATAAGGTTTCCTGCTTTGGGGTTGGGTGGGTTGGACTAGATGACTTCCAAGGTCCCTTCCAATGGGGGTTTTGCAGTATCCTTCTCCTGGACTGAGGAACGAATGGAGGTTTTGCACTATCCTTCCCCCAGGAGCCCAAGCGCTGTGCCAGCAAAAATGCCAGATCCAGGCCCCAGGCCTTGAGTCTGACGCCCGTGATCTACAAGAATTGTAGATCCTTGCTTTAGCCTGGCAAGATTCTGTCTGTAGGCAAACAAACAACCATTAAGGAACCACTCAGAAGTCACTCCACTTGTTCTTGGTTCTTGGGGCCTGACCCAGAGAGGACGTTTGGGATCCTAACAGTATTCATATTTACCATTTTCCGTGATGATCTTCGGGACCTCTTTGGCTGCTGGCGACAGGCACTTGATCTTGTTCCCTGACACCACTCCGTCCATTTCTGCCAGGTCTCCAAAGGAGCAATTGACTCCATGGGATAGCTCAGGCACGTTGTAGGCCTCCAACACCAGCTGCAGGAGAAAAAGAGGAGAGAGGAGAGGAAAGAGAGCGATGAGAAAATGTGGAAAGGACAGGAGCTACGAAAGGAAAGATGGAAGGAAGGTCCTGCTGTTGCCATTCCCCGTCAAAAAGCAGGAGGCTGGGAATATCAAATGATGGGGTTTGTCTTCCTCATAAAGATAACGACAACCGTACCGGTTGGAGTGTTGGTTGACAATGAGACACAGGCCGCTCGTTTGAAGACAACAAAGTCCACATTTTGGGCAGAGAAGACCGCCGGTTTGAAAGAGGGGACCAAAATTGAACAGCTTTCCCTCAACAGAGAGGGATGGATATGACCTCATCTATCTCCAGTCTACAACACAGTCCTTTCTGCGGTTCCAAGAAGGCTCCACACCCATTTGCACTATTCAGGTGACCCTGAAGGCACAGACAAACCTCCAAGCCGCCTCAATGACTCTCTAAAAAGGATGCAAATGACCAGCTGTCTGCAAGGAGGATCATCCCTTCCCTTCCCTCACCATCCAAGTCAGAGAGGAAGAAGCTTCTTGGATGAGAAGCGAAACGTCTTCAGAGAAAAACCAGAAAGTCCAGTTGCCTCTTGGAAAAGCACCTTTGGGACAACCCATGACTTGGAGGGCTGAGAATCTCCACAGACAATGAGACCATTGAAAGAGGAGAAGAATTCATCTTCCTGGGCTCTTAAAATCAACCAAGGTGGTGATTTAATGTCGTGGGTAAATCTAGTCTAATGAAAAGAACCAGGGAGATACGAAAGCATTGTTCCAATATTTGAGGAGCTCCGAAAGAAGAGGGGGTCAAACTATTATCCAAAGCACCTGAAGGCAGGACAAGAAGCAATGGATGGAAACTAACCAGGAGAGAAGCAACCTAGAACTAAGGAGGAATTTCCTAACGGTGAGAGCAATCAACTAATGGAACAGAAGTTGCCTTTAGAATTTGTAGATGTTCCATCGCTGACTGAAGAGGCATAGAGACATAGAGATTTTAAAAGCCAAAAAGAAATAAAAGAACCAGAAGACCTACTTACTACCAATCAACACCCACATAAACGGGGATTAATATCAGACCAACAATCTGTCACAGTATATTCATGAACTGGAATAGAGCATGGTAACAAGGTCAGCCAATGTATAGACATAGCCACTAAGTCAGCCAATGAGGAGTGTTTTGGAAACTGAAACTAGAAGTAGCTCAGGCTGGAAACTGAAACTAAAAGTAGCTCAGGCTAGAAACTGAAACTAAAAGTAGCTCAGGCTAGAAACTGAAAATAAAAGTAGCTCAGGCTGGAAACTGAAACTAAAAGTAGCTCAGGCTGGAAACTGAAACTAAAAGTAGCTCAGGCTAGAAACTGAAAATAAAAGTAGCTCAGGCTAGAAACTGAAACTAAAAGTAGCTCAGGCTGGAAACTGAAACTAGAAGTAGCCTAGGCTGGAAACTGAAACTAGAAGTAGCTTAGGTGTGGCTCTGTATTAAACTCTGCAGCTATGTTGAGCTCTGAGTCTGTCTATTAAAAATGAAACTGCATCTCTCCTCTGCTGTATATACTGCTTGCCTGCTGAACTAAAGTGAAACTGATGTCTGTTTCTGAGCTGCTGAAGTTGCTGCTGGAGCTCTGAACTTGCAACATGTCTACTTCTGTCTGAGTTTGCTCCATGTTGGAGAAATCTACAACCGGTTTGTAAAATCTATGTTTATAAAGGCGTTAAATGAAGCATTGGCCATCTGTTTTTCTGGCACTGAATTAACGCTGCAAAATCAATCAAGCCACAAATAATGCCTAGCCAAGGAACCACCAACTCAGACAAACAATCAAACGGTGAACAACAGGTTCATCAAGGAGCACCAAGATTGCTCCCACCAAAACTGGCAGGTAAGCAACTAGTATATAAACAGAGAGCAAACTCCACATAAACATCAAGATTAATACTAGACGATCAGAAAGTAAACAATTCCCCAATCAAGGGATTATTAACTCAGGCAAACAAGCTAACAGTAAATAACAGCCTAACCAAGGAACCAACAAGAATACTAACATTACGGTTATCATTGTCATTAATACACTGCTCAAAAAAATAAAGGGAACACTTAAACAACACAATGTAACTCCAAGTCAATCACACTTCTGTGAAATCAAACTGTCCACTTAGTAGCAACACTGACAATCAATTTCACATGCTGTTGTGCAAATGGAATAGACAACAGGTGGAAAGCATAGGCAGTTAGCAAGACATCCCCAATAAAGGAGTGGTTCTGTAGGTGGTGACCACAGATCACTTCTCAGTTCTTATGCTTTCTGGCTGATGGTTTGGTCACTTTGAATGCTGGCGGTGCTGTCACTCTCGTGGTAGCATGAGACGGAGTCTACAACCCACATAAGTGGCTCAGGTAGTGCAGCTCATCCAGGATGGCACATCAATGTGAGCTGTGGCAAGAAGGTTTGCTGTGTCTGTCAGCGTAGTGTCCAGAGCATGGAGGGGCTACCAGGAGACAGGCCAGTACATCAGGAGATGTGGAGGAGGCCGTAGGAGGGTAACAACCCAGCATCAGGACCGCTACCTCCACCTTTGTGCAAGGAGGGACAGGAGGAGCACTGCCAGAGCCCCGAAAAATGACCTCCAGCGGGCCACAAATGTGCATGTGGCTGCTCCAATGGTCAGAAACAGACTCCATGAGGGTGGTATGAGGGCCTGACGTCCATAGGTGGGGGTTGTGCTTACAGCCCAACACCGTGCAGGATGTTTGGCATTTGCCACAAGATTGGCACATTCTCCACTGGCACCCTGTGCTCTTCACAGATGAAACCAGGTGCACACTGAGCACATGTGACAGACGTGACAGGGTCTAGAGGCGCCGTGGAGAACGTTCTGCTACCTGCAACATCCTCCAGCATGAGCGGTTTGGCAGTGGGTCAGTAATGGTGTGAGGTGGCATTTCTTTAAGGGGCCGCACAGCCCTCCATGTGCTCGCCAGAGGTAGCCTGACTGCCATTAGGCACCGAGATGAGATCCTCAGACCCCTTGTGAGACCATATGCTGGTACGGTTAGCCCTGAGTTCCTCCTAATGCACGACAATGCTAGACCTCATGTGGCTGGAGTGTGTCAGCAGTTCCTGCAAGATGAAGGCATTGATGCTATGGACTGGCCCGCCCATTCCCCAGACCTGAATCCAATTGAGCACACTTGGGACATCATGTCTTGCTCCATCCACCAATGCCATGTTGCACCACAGACTATCCAGGAGTTGGGGGATGCTTTAGTCCAGGTGTGGGAGGAGATCCCTCAGGAGACCATCCGCCACCTCATCAGGAGCATGCCCAGGCATTGTAGGGAGGTCATACAGGCACGTGGAGGCCACACACACTACGGAGCCTCATTTTGACTTGTTTTAAGGATATTACATCAAAGCTGGATCAGCCTGTAGTGTTTTTTTCCACTTTAATTTTGAGTGTAACTCCAAATCCAGACCTCCATGGGTTGCTCAATTTGATTTCCATTGATAATTTTAGTGTGATTTTGTTGTCAGCACATTCAACTATGTAATTAACAAAGTATTTAATAAGAATATTTCATTCATTCAGATCTAGGATGTCTTATTTTTGTGTTCCCTTTATTTTTTTGAGCAGTGTATGTGAAAGGAGAGCAAAAGAGAGTAAACTCACCTTACTTCTGAAACTGATGATGTTACCTAGCTGGGTAATGAAATGTCTACAAGAAAACCATCAAGCTCAAAGCCCACCAAGGACCCTACAGTCTTCATCTTCTTCTCTTTCCTTCACCTCTTCCCTTCTCCTTCCTTCCTTTTGTCCTTCCTTCCTTTTTTAATTCCTTTCTTCCTTTCTCCTTTTTCTTCACTTTCCTTTCCTTCCTTCCTTCACCTTCCTCCCTTCCTTCCTTCCTTTCCTCCTCCTCCTCCCACTCCTCTTCTCTTCCCTTCTCCTTCCTTTCTTTTTTCCTTCCTTCCTTTTTAATTCCTTTCTTCCTCCTTTCTTTTCTTCCTTCCTTCTTTCCTTCCTCCTCTTTCCTTCACCTTTCTCCCTTCCCTCATTCCTTTCCTCCCCCTCCTCTTTCTTCTCTTCCATTCTCTTTCCTTCCTTCCCCCCTCCCTTCCCCCCTCGCTTCCTTTCTCCTCCTCTTTCTGTTTTCCTTCCTTCCTCCTTGCCTCTCTCCCTCCCTTCCCCCTCCTCAAACCCCACTCTTTTCTATTACTGAAGACCAATATCACCTTGGTCACAAGGCCGGAAAGCCCTGAGCGAGGGGCCTTGGGTGTGGTGGACTCTGAGAATTCAAAAGCCCATAATCCTCACCGTCACGCTGTACTGGGAGACGGAGATGTTGTTGGGATGCACGGTGAGTTGGACACATTGCTTCATCTCCGAGGCAAACCTCCGGGGCTCGCTGGACCGTTCGCACTGCTCCTTCCTGGTGCACCTGAAAAGCGAGGGAAGATGGACACAGAAGCCAAAGACATCAGAGCTCACCCCAAAATTTGCACCAAGCACAGCAGTCCTCAACTTACGACTGGGTTGGTTAACGGCAGACCTTCCAGACCTATTGCAAAAGGTCTCGCGCAGCAGCAGAAATTTTAGGCTCCGTTGTGGTTGTAAATCGAGGACTAGCTGCACTGCTTATGTCTGTAGTCTATGCTAGGCTGTTCTGACCCAGCTCCACAAACACGACAAACCATCTGTATTTAAATCAGTGATTCCCTTTATTAGGAGTGCTAACAGCCCCAGCCAAAAGTTTCTCTCTCACTGAGGGCTAACAAGTCCATCAGTCCGGGAGATGAATAGTTGTCTGACACACTTATTCATCTCCTCCCCCTGCCTTTTATCCCCAGAGCTCAGGTGGGTCTTTGTTAGCAGTGGTGGTGACCTTTTACCGCTGCACCATAGAGAGCATTTTAACATACTGCCCCTCTGTATGGTTTGCCACTTGCACAGGGGCAGATAGCACAGTACTCCAGAGGGTTAATGTCATTGCCCAGAAGATCTTTGGTTGCCCTCTCCCCTCTTTGGAAGAGCTTTAGAGCTCCCGCTGCCTTAAGAAAGTTCAAAACATCCTCAAAGATCCATCTCATCCTGGGAACCCTTTTTTTGAACTATTACCATCTGGCAGACGGTACAGGAGAATAATAAAAACAAGGACAAATAGGCTGAAAAACAGCTTTTATCCCAGAGCAGTAACTCTTTTGAATTCTGCTGTATAGTGCAGTGTTGGTGTGGTGTCAGGGGTTTCCGGTTCAATGTGTGAAGGATGTGCGTTGGTGTTTATTTTCATGGTCATTATGTGCGCTGAAGATGGTGTTTGATCCCATTGTATGAGGTGCAATGACAATAAAGTAAACTAAACAGAGCTAGGGTGGAGCTTTACAAGCAGCGGTGGCTCTTCCGGCCCAAGGACCGGCCCATAGATTTCCACTGCTCTCCTCTTCTCTGCCTTCTGCACATCCGTGCGTCACGCACTAGACCCAGCTGTTCCTCCTCTTCCTCATCAGCCACCTCCAGACCTGTACTGCTTGTGTTTGTTGTCTATGCTTGCCTGTTCTGACCCAGCTCCCCAAACGCGACAAAACCCCCTGTAGTTAAACAAATGTTCCTTTTATTAGGAGTGCCAGCAGCCCCGGCAAAAAGTCTCTCTCACGCACAGCAGGCTAACAACTCTGTCTGGCATGGAGATGAATAGTTGTCTGCCACCCCTATTCATCTCCGCCCCATGCCTTTTATCCCCAGAGGTCGGGTGGGGCTTCACTAGCAGCAGTGGCTCTTCCGTCCCGAGGACCGGCCCATAGATTTCTACTGCTCTCCTCTCCTCTGCCTTCTGCTCATCCGCGCGTCAGGCACTGGACACAGCTGTTCCTCCACTTCCTCATCAGCCACCTCCAACATAAGCCCCAATTATTATTGTTAATTACATTTATACAAAGCCCAACCCTTCATGAACTATAGTACAGCGTAAAATCATGGTCTGGTATATATAACTTGCCAAGACGGGGCATTTCCACAAAGTTCAAAAAGGTCATGGAATAAAGGTAGCATTTTGTGGCCTCCAGCTTGAGTTTTCTGACTTGATGAGCCCCTCCTGCACCCCCCCAAAAAAATCCAAAGCTGCATTCCGAAATTATGCTCAACCCATAATTATCCACTCCTTGTTTTAGAGACCCAAAACACCGAATCCTTGCCCAGATCGGAGAAGGATGAAATGACATCTTTCATCTCGTAATCACCCACCTAATAGGATGCACGATTAATATCAAAAAAATAAAAGTCCAGGCCACCGTGAGCTAATTATCCACCATTAAGCTAATGCAACAGACCTTCAAAAAGATTCTTTATTATTAACGGCAACTTTGGCCCCTGTAAAATTCACTCTGAAGCTAAAGTTGGGAAGCTAAATGATTCAAACTTTCCACTGCCTTTGAGGGTTTTGTTTTCCAGAGTTAGAACAGAATAGAGTAGAGCTGGAAGGGGCCTCAGAGGTCTTCTAGTCCAACCCCCTGCTCAAGCAGGAGTCCCTATAACAGTGGTATCTAATCTTTTTGGGCTCCTGTGCCAAAAATTGTGCGTGTACTTGCATGCTCGCGCTTGCATGCCAGCACCCAGAAGCAATGCGTGCCCCCCATGCCCCCTACACATGCACGCGCAATCCCTACCCACCCACCCACCCTGATCCCCTTACCTGCACTATGCCTCACAGCTGATTTTCATCTGGTTTGAGGCCTTTTTCAGCCTCCCAGAGGCTTCAGGGAGGCTTCTGCAGGCTTTGCAGGCCAAAAACTAGGCCCGTTTTGTCATTTCTGGTATTTCCGGAAAAACAGGAAGTGATGAAACGGGCCTAGTTTTCAGTCTAAAAAGCCTGCAGAATCTTTCCTGAAGCCTCTGGGAAGCCAAAAAAGGCCTCAAACCGGCCAAAAATCAGCTGTGAGGCACACGCATGCTCAGTGAGGTAAGTTGGCTTGCAGCTCGCGTGCTGGCACAAATGGCTCTGCGTGTCACCTGTGGCGTGCGTCCCATAGGTCCACCATCATGGCCCTATACCATTTCAGACAAGTGACTGTCCGGTCTCTTGTTAAAAACCTCCAGTGATGAAGCGCCCACAACTTCTGGAGGCAAGTTGTTCCACTGGTTAATTGTTCTCACTGTCAGGAAATTCCTCCTTAGTTCTAAGTTGCTTCTCTCCTTGGTGAGGTTGCATCCATTGCTTCTTGTCCTGCCCTCAGGTGCTTTGGAGAATAGCCTGACTCTCTCTCTTCTTTGTGTTAAGTTAAGGGATCCAGTCTGACTAGCAGAAATAATGCCTATAGGGAGTCCTTGAAGTAAGACCACAATTGAGAGCGAAATGTCTGTTGCTAAGCGAGACAGTTAGAACAATTCATCGGTGGAACGACTTGCCTCCAGAAGCTGAGGGTGTTCCAACAACGGAGAGTTTTAAGAAGAGACTGGACAACCATTTGTCTGAAATGGTATAGAACCGTGTTAGTGAACTATGCACGCTTGCCGGAAGTGGAACGCAGAGCCATTTCCCTCGGCACATGAACGGTCCCCCAGAAGTGCCCCACTGTGCATGTGGCCGTGTGCCACCACCTGACAGCTGATTGACGGGTATTTGGCGCGCATGTTCATGGGTCAGGGTGTGTGGGGGGGAGACATGCAGGCATGCGCAAAGACACGTGGCATGCGAGGGGGGATCGTGCAGGGGGCATAGGGGGCCAGCACGCATTGCCTGAGGCCATTTTGGAAGCATCTTCAGGGCTGCCAAAGCAAGACCGGGTGTGATTCCATTGGGGGTGTTTGTTGGAACCCTGACACTGGGTGGACTTCAAGTCCCAGAATTCCTTGGCCGGCATGCTGTAAGAGAGATGGACATCAACTCCCAGAATTCTTCAGCTGGCCTGCTTTAAGAGAGCTGGACTTCAACTCCCAGAATTCCTCAGCTGGCCTGCTTTAAGAGAGA